TTTTTATCTATAGCTCTGTATAGCAGAATAATTTTCTGTCACAAAAAAGTAACTGGCTTACCTCGGGCATACTCCTACATCGACCCAGAGAAGAACTTAGAAGAACTTTCATCACAGCTGCAGAAGACTGCCAGCTTCTAGGCAGAGCCTCACTTTGTAATAGTAGAGCACTAGGGCGACCAGAAGTCCCCTCTGCATCTCCTGAAGTTGGATCTGAGCCCTTCTCCTCCTGTGCTATCTCACATTTAGCTCCATCTTCTTTCTCTTCATCCTCTTCAGGGTCACCTTTTTCCTCCAATTCTAACTTCTCACCTTCAGGACTCTCCTGTGCTAACTCTCCTCCAGGCATCTCTTCCATTTCCTTTGGCGTCAGCTCTTCCTCATTAAACTCATCGCCAAGTGCTAGCATGCTGCTGTTAGCAGGAATACTTCGCAGCCAGTCACTAACAACCTCACTGGGGGACGTGTTGGGCAAACAGGCAGGTGTCAGTTCCTCTCTTTTATCCATCTGATTGCTGCGTCTTTGACACATTCCACTTTTCTTGCTCTTGGACTTGTCACTGGACTTACTGGCTTTAGATTGTCGGCTGCATGGGCGTGCTGCAGCCATTGTTTCCTTTAGCAAGTCAGCAGCAGACAGAGATTGAGACAAAGTGCTTTCACTGCATGTCTCTACTTTGCTGTGTAAGGGACAGGGGCTTGAGGACTTGATAGGGGTTCCTTTCTTCAGAGAGCTGGCCATTTTGACACTACCACAATCGCTCCCTGTGCTAAATCTGGACTTACATTCGACCTGATCTTTTTCTTTACTCTGATCTGAAGCTAAATCTGCTGACTCAGCCCTGAGGCAACAGGGACTTTGGGAGGAGATTACTTTACTGTATGCAGTGTCTTCTTCCTGTTTGGCCTCACTAGCTGCTCTAGGGTTTTTTTGATTTTCCGTGCCATTATTTTCTGAGTTTCCAGGAACTGTTTTTGCTGTTGTGTTTGCAGAGGATTTTATCTGGACTTTCGCACCTGCTAATGACATTGCAGATGAGTTCCTGCTGTTGCTACCATTTGTCACCGGAGCAGACTTCACATTTTCTGTTTCACTGCCATTTCCAAGTTTGGTCGAGCTAGCATTAGCATGTTTTTCTTTAGAAGACTTGTTAGACCTGCTGCTTCTGACTGAAATTGTACTTGCTGCTTTTTCTGTCTTTTGCAATCCATTTTCTTCACCTGATGGAGTTTCAATAGTTGGGATATCCACTGCTGAACCCCTCCTCCTGCCAGTACTGTTGGATTTTTGAGAAACGGTGGACCCCGTTATCTCCACATCCTCCTTCATGGTGGAAACCTTTGGGCTTTTTGGGACACTGGGAGTTGAGGTCTTTGCCTGGCCCTCGTCATTGCTCTCAGCACTTCTGTGAACACAGACGCTAGACTTCCCACTGTCTGAGGCAGATGTTTCTTCAGGTAACCCAAGAGAGACCGATTCTGTTGAGTTCTGACTCAAAGGATGGTCTGTGCCTCCTGATGACACTGCGCTGCCTGCTCGCTCAGAAACATTCTCACTTTTCACCTTGAGCTTCACCTCTTTATCCTTGTTCTCCTTTTCCGTCTTTGCCTCATCAAATTCTGAAGTGGCTCCACAGCAGCATCTGGATTTGCCAGATTTAGCAGAGCCCGCGGAGTGAACTGACAAGACACTGGGCCCTCTTGTGTCTCCAGCATCAGAGCCATTCAACAACTGCTGCACAGGAGACTTACAACTTTTGGTGGATGCGGCTGAAGCATCGGGAGAGCGCATCCGCGGTGAACGTGTTCGCTTAGGTGAGAGAGTTTGGACATTAGATTTAATTTTTGGTGCACTCTCATTTGTTACCTTTTTGTCTCCATCCGCTGTTTCAATAATAGAAATATCCGTTTTTCCATTACAATTTGACTTTTGAGACACTGTAGATGAAACATTTGATCTTCCTGATGCAGCACTTGGTGCTCTCTCATTCGTCACATTTTCCTCGTCATCAACTGTAGGCGTTTTAATGGTGACAACATTTGCACTTGAATTTGATTTATGAGAAATGTTGGACCTTACTGAAGATTTTGACTTGGCAGACATGACACTTTCCACCCTCTCCTGATTTTCTTTAGCTTCACTTGGAACTGGAGATGCAGTTGTGTGATTTGACTTCTGGGACTTGGAGGACTTGGCACTAGGGGCTCTGTCCACCATGTCATCTCCCTCTATCTTTGTACTGTGAGACTTTGCAGAGGAAGCTGACTTATGGGATAAAATACTAGCAGTTCGCTTCTCAGCTTTTTCTGTTTTGTGTACTATTTCGGAGTCTGATTCTGTGTTTTGATTACTGTCAGATTCATGAGATTTGGAGGACTCTGCACTGGGTGTCCTCTCATTATTTACCAGTTTAAGATTGTTCTTTTTTTCTTCAGCTTCATCTGCTGTCTTTGAGCTTGAACATGTCACCATTTCATTGCCATCACATTTAGACCTGAATGACTTTGTAGACTTAGCAGACTTGTTCGATTTAACTGACGTGCCAGACATTTGACTTGGTGCCCTTTCTTCTCCCTCTCCCCCAGGCTCTGAGGCTTTAGTGGACTTATGGGATTTAATAGACTTTGCAGACAGGTTGGACTTTGATGACATTGCACTTGTTGGTCTTTCCTCTACCTCTGTTTCTGTTCCTTTTCCAGTTACCTTTATGGTAGCTTCAACTCCTGTCGCTTTTACACAGTTACTGCAAGTCGACCTCTGAGATATGCTGGACTTTACAGAAATATTTGAGTTTTTTGATCTAGCACTATCAGGTCTTTCAGCCTTTTCAGCCTTTGCAGACACATTTGACTTCACAGAGAGGCTACTGGGAGCTCTGTTGTTTGGGTCATGCTCTTCTACAGCTGGATTGTCACTTTGGGATGTGCCTTTAGCTCCTGACTGACAGGTGGAGTTACGAGACTTGACTGATGCATCAGTCTGAGCTGAAACACAAGATTTGGCTGACAAGGAGCTGACTGCTCTTTCTACAGTGTTCTCGCTGACTGCTGTCTCCCTTGAACTGATATCAGGAGCTTCACTTGTGTGTTCAGACTTGCTGGACTTTGCAGACTGATTTGACACTACGCTGAAGCTTCTCTTGTCCTCTTTTTTTGCACGAATATCAGTGCTGCCCTTACAGCCAGAGTTGTGTGATCTATTGGACCTGTGGCTTGTAGCTGAAGTAGCACTGGGAGCCCTTTCTTTCTCTTTTTGTGTTGCCTGAGGACTGGATGTTCTAGACATGGCACTGGATACTTTGCCCTCCAAGATATTTGGTGTGGCAGAGAGGCGTCCATTTTTGGTGAGGTTGGTTTTGTTGGATTGGGTAGAAACATCTGAGGCAGCATCATCACTGTTAGGAAGGGGAGAGGCTTGGTTGGAACGATTGGTTCTCTGTAATTCCCTGCCACCGGAAACAGAATCGACCTTGCGTTTGCAGCCCCCGCAATTTGGACACACGCTGGAAGTCGCTGACTTTTGAGAGCTTGCTGAGAGTCCTGTGTGATTTGACAAGTCACTTACAGCCCTCTTTATCCCTTCATCATCATCACAGGCCCCTCCTTCCTCTGATTCTGACATCCTGGTTACGCTTATTTTAGATGTGTTGCAAGGGACTTGATCTACCTCATCTGGGCCAGCTGAGCAAGCGGCAGCTCCTCCACAGAGACAGGAAGAGGCTGCAGACACTGCCCTGCTTCCTAGCTCTTCCTGCTCCTTGTGTTTGGTAGAGTGGAAAGAATTGGCTGAGACGTCATTTATTGGCTTTTCGTGCAGTTGAGTTTCAGGGGTTGGGGACGGTTCATTGCTATGGTAACACCGTGAGATGCTTGGTGGCAGATCATCGTCCTCATCATCTTCATCCTCTTTCAACGACTGAAGGACATGTGAGGAGCTGCTGACTGCTGATGGCGGGCGATCTTCTTCGTCTTCAGCTGACTTTCTTCTGAGTGGTTGAAGGTTACTGTCCGCGACAACCACTTCACTTCGACTGCAACACCGGCTCACCTTGTGTACCTCAATATGGGTGTCCCCATCCTGCTCTACCTCTAATCTGTGCTCAACCTGCTCGGTTACACACATTTCCTCCTGGACCAGTTTGCTCTGCTCTGAACCTGAGCCACCCCCGCAGCTGGAGAGCCGTGCTCTGCAGCGCACCACCCTTCTTGAATTGCACGATGAGGAAGAGCTAGAAGAGTGCGTATGTCTCATCATACTGTGGGTGTGGCTGGGTGCATGTGGGGGTGGAACAGGAGCTGATTTATGGCTGTGTGCAGGGTTTTCCCATAAGTCGTAATGCTGTTCATGCCTCTGATGGCAACACGGGCAGCGGTTCCCTTCCAACTCGCACTGCAGCGGCTGGCTGGAATAGTCCACACCGTACTGATCAAAGGATGTTGAATCAGGGTCAGAACAACTTTCTGACTGGCCCTGCTGGAGATAATGAGGCTGAGCCTGACTTAGAGGGCAACATTCATTGCTCAGAGATGGAGATTTTTTAATTTGAGTGGACCACTGGAGGGTCTCGTCATTCTGGAGGTGAAAACGCACCCTCATCTCCACCGAGAGGCTGCCATCTTTATTTACCAGAACACGCTTTTCAATGTCATCATTCATAATGGCTGGCTTTCCCTGGGGGCATGCAGTGACACCATTGCCATATGACTTTTCAGAGGAAAAAGAGAAACGTGCCGAGCGGTTTGAGGAATCAGAACGAGGGTGAATGATGCTCTTTTTGGTTTCCAGACCAAAGTTAACTGAAGAAAAAGAGAAAAGTACAATATTTAATAAAATGTATTCCCTCTTGTTCTTGTACCTTTTAAAACTTGTCTGTTGTTAACTTGCCCAGTTGTCTAAAAAACTCACCATTTTTCTTGCTTTCATTTCCTTCGCTGTACTCACTGGCTCTGGATTGAGCTCCATGAGGTGGGGACCTTATTCCTTGAGTAGCAGGGGATCGTGCCCCATTTCCAGGAGTCCGGGGACCCAGACCAGGGAGTTTCTCTTCTGAAGTTTTCCTAATAAAGTTTATCAGCAAGGGGCTGAAGGCTTCCCGGCCAACACATACCAGAACACCTGGACAAGTCATCAGGCTTTGAACGCTGTCAATCTGGAAACAATTCACTAGAGTCAACAGTTTTCACTAAAATGAGCAACCTTTGCAAAGTTTTACTATGCAAATTCAAATAAATATAACTTTTTACCCTGCGTCCCTCTACAGTGTAGATCTTGCGGACATGAAACTGCATCACTTCGGACACCTCATCTAAAAAGGCTCTCAGGCTCCTGGCTGTCCTTCTGCTCAGGACCACGCTCCTCCTCATCCCCGGTTCGCTGTTCTTCACCAGCAAGATCCGTCGCTGTCTGTAAGGCATATGCAAATGGCCAGGTGGTGTTGCGGATGACGTTTCAGGCCTCTGGGGCCTCCGGTTGTGATGGTACCAGATGCCTGAGTGTTTGTTGACCAGCTCCATGTTTACTGGCTTCGCCTGGCGTCGGTCAGAGCAGAGGTAGCAGCCACCATCCTGGAGCTGCTCCAGGTGTTTGATAGTGTGAGTGCCACGAGGGGTGGTCACAGTCCGCACACCAAATGGCAGCGGCACCTGTGGACAAATTGTACATAAATATCAAATGTGACTGTTAATCTGTCTCTATCTCGTATCCATGTATTGCTCTCCCTACATTGTATAAAGCACTGCTGATCAGGACAAGTTGCTACGGCAAAACCCAACCATAACCTTTGATTAGCGTGGATGTTAAGAGGTGAAAAGACCTGCATCAGTAAAGTCAAAGCCACATACAGCATGCCGCACCTTATATCTTAGTGGGCCAGATGAGTGAAACTATTTGATAAATGTATAAAATTAAAGAAAATGTTGTGGTAGTTCATTGCTCAGACTGTCTTGTAATTATAAAGCATAACATTTTTGTTAATTGACAGAAAATGTCTGTTCTTGTGTTTTTGTTTTGTTTTTTACACTGTGATATTACTTTTGTGTCGTATGGATGGCCATGAGAGAGGTCTTTATCAGTAGGAAATGCTTAAATACAGTTAAAAGTCTAAAATTTATACATTTATATCCTACTTCACATTTTGCAAAGCTGTCCAAGGGTCATATTGGAGTCTTTTACTCTTCAGTTCTAGTCCCCAGGCCTAATGTTTGACACCCCTGACCTATATGCATGCATCTAAGCATTCAGCTTCAAAAGAAGTCTCTACTACAGTTCATCTAACCTTTTGAGAAAGGTCGTCCAGCAGGGCGTCAAAGCATTTGAAGCTGCGCTTGTGGATGGCCATCCTGACGCCCCCAAACTGGCTGTCACCACTTTTGTAGAATGTGATCCGTTTGGCTGGGGTGGTTGAGCTCACGTGAGCGGGGCGCGAGTTGGAAGGGGGCGGGGCAGGGATGGGGAAGACATGTTTAAATGGGGGCCGGGGGTTCCACAGCCCTGTCTGGACCGAATGCATGCTGTGGTCTCACATACACCTGGGAAACACACAAAGATAAGAACATGTTTATTCTTTTCTGCAGGTTTCTGTTTATTTTTCTGATCCCGTGCGTGCTAATCACACTCACAAGAAGAACAAGTCTTAATCAGGATGATTAATGGAGGATTTAGGACAGGACATCTGCTGAAAGGACTAGCTGACATTGGTGGGAAAAACCTTCTGTATCGTTTACAACTAAATTCTAATAATAAGCTGTCACTTTTCCAGCTGCTGAGGTGAATGTCTTGTTTCTGTAATGATTTTCTAGAAAAAGACATTTACCTGGATTCCCTCAAAATATTCTGTGCAGTCGCCCCCCTGATCATTGATGATCATTGATCAGTTTCAATTTGTTTTTTGAATAAGAACTGCAAATCCTACAAAAGTTCAACAAAAACAAGCCACATACTTTACTGTGAATTAACAAGATAAACTGTAGACAAATGCTATATTTACATGGATGTTAAAGGCGGAGCTTCGCACAGGGAGCTATTTTTATTAGTGTGGCCTAGGACACGTATAGAAATCCTGTTTGGAACAGACGTAAAAAGTTTCTGCCCTGCTTCTGGAAAGGCAGCATCAGTCAGCTTACATAACATATGCTGAGTATTTCAAACATTTAGCTTTTTTCTCTAGTTTTACAACACATGGATGAACATAGATGAACACTGCAAATAACTACTTGTTAGTTTTGAGTTTTGATGGGTTTCAGGTCTGTATCGACACACATATTAGCTTATATAATAGTTATAAAAACCACAAGCTAATTTCACGTGTATGTTGAGAGATCTGCTGTGGTGACCCTTAAATCCTTCAGCATCAAGACAAATATCACTTTTTCTACTCAGTGCATGTGGTCACAATGTGCCTCTTGATTGTTTCCTGTTATGTCTTCTGATGGGCTTAGCAGGCTTTTAAGTCTCACGAGGCCAAATCAGTGTTGACACTGCTTCTTAATGCCTCTTTAGCTCAGTCTTTCCTAATAACATTACATCAAACATATCATTTAAAATTCTATGAAGGGCACAGTTAACCCAACATTTAGGGACATGTTAAACAGGTTTTCAGTGTAGAACAGCATAAATAAAACTGACTGTAACGTTTATTTTACACTTGAAACTAACTCAGTCGATCTCATATAACTTATTCTGGCTTTCTTCTGAAATGGACAACAAAGTTGCTTTTGATGTGCAACATTAAAAGCAACCACTGAAGCTGTGGGAAAGTGATTATGCTGTGGGACTACAGAAAGGTCTTAGGCTTACAGCTATGCTGACGTCCATGTGCACTAAGCAAGTTTTTCCAGCAAAGAGGCAAGTTAATCCAAGCAAATGTTAGCTTAGAGCTTTCAGACACTTAAACACATTCAGTTAGTGTTTCATTATCACCCTCTGCTTCTTTCTCACTGCCATTCAAGATTTAATGGAATCAATATATCAGATTTTAGAAGTGGAATAAAGGAATATTTTCACTTTCTGTTAATCTCATCTAGTTTCTTCAGTGCTATTTTTAGACTTAATGAATTACAAATACTTCTTAAAAACTATTTTTTTTAGAAGCACACCAACAGTCCCAGTTTATATATGACAAACAAAGCTTAAAGTTCTCACATTTAAGCAGAATAAATGACTCATCTGTTAAATGAAAAGCTGTGGACGGACTGCTCGATGGACTGATCATTTCATATCTAACACACAGATTTTTCTTTCCAATACAAAACTCTGACTCACATATACTAGCCTTTAACACATTACACTGAAGCAAACCATTAACAGATAACAGCATTGTAGGTTTAAGCCTTTTCAACATGAAGCTCTATTATTTTCCCATGAAAGCATTATTATAGCAGATTTAATGTTTTTGCTCGTTTAGAATCTTTTTCAAATGATTTGAAGATGCTTACCGTTGTCGTAAAAGAACAGGAGAATGACTGCTGCCACTAATTAACAACCACTTTTTCCATGCCATATGTATTAGTTGCACTACTCACATATTCAGGAAGCATGGTCCAAAGAGGTATGGAAAAGCTGGAGAGAAATTTGTGGATATCTAGTCAGACCAGGAGACTGGTTTGCAGTATTTGTGCAAGTGTGTATGGTGGCGATCCCCGAGTGTACATATAAAGCAGAGTCCCTGATTCCACTCTCCAGCTCTCAGGGTAAAATGGCAGATGGACAAGAGGAGGGAGGAAGGGAGTGGGGGTGGAGAGAGGAGAACTGAGGAGATAGGAGAAGACAGGAGGGGTGAGGCTAAGGATAGAATGAAAAGCCTGCTTAAGAACCTCTGTGTGTGTGGGAGAAGGAGGGGTTGCTATGGTGAGGCCAAGACGTTAATAAGGCAAGTGATGCTCTTATGCATGCCACACCTGAGCAGCAGAAGACACATATGCTAATTTGTAGTTGTGAGGTTGAATTATTGAGATTGAATAGAAATATTAATAGGCAAGTGGCAAATACATCAAAGATGTTTAGATTGTTAGTGAAATTATAATTTGAATCATGTCAACATGAAAGTTACAGGACGCCGAAGGACAAAGTTAGGTAGATAAAGTCTTAAAAAAAGTCTGACTTAGATAAAGTCAGATAAAGGCAGTCGGTTTTCACATTCTGGTTGCAGAGTTGGTGCAGAGGCCACAGGTTTTAGCACATATAACGCCCTCTATCTGTGTCTTCCTCACACACAGGGATCTAGTTGGAGGATTGTAATTACACACAACCTGTCTAACAGCAGGGTTCCTCCTGTCTAGAAACCCCTGAAACCACCAACTGCTGCCCTGGCAAAAAAAACCCTCTAATACTACAGACAGAGTAGCAGTAAATCTGTAATGAGCCAATCACGACCAGCTGATTGTCTCAGTCTGGCAAAGCACCATCTCACAAAGCCAGAAGGGGAAAGAGCAGCAGCAAGCCCTAGCACAAAACCAGCACCAGAGACAACAGTTGTGGCATTGATCAGGCTGGACACAGCATGAAAGGAGGAGCTGAAGGGCAAGGTGGGTTGCACAGCAGCTTGCAGAAAGAAAAAAAAAGTATTTGTCTAGCAGGTATTCTAAATGATAAATATGAATGTTGTGTATTGCTTTCCCAGTGTGGGTAAGCGGATGGCATATTATTTATATCCACAGTTCTTATTCCATTATCTTTTCTTTTAGTGGGATTAACGGTCTATATCTGTACCTAAAGAACACGTCCAAACTTAACAAGCTCTTTAGCTGCTATTGGCTCCGATAATTTCAACAGCCTGTTGCCAGCTTTTTCATATTTTAAGTTTTTTATTATCTGGAAAAGAACTGCCCACTGTGGTCGGGAGATGGTACTGACACGAACGATGAGGGTGAACAAAACAGTGAGCGAAAAGAGGCTCACACAAACATGCATATAAAGCGTGTTAGAGACAGAGTGTTAATTATTTGCGGATTCATAAGTGACGCTGGCCACATTACACATGGTCATTTTAGCTGCCGTTTGCATATGAATATGATTGGAGCACATTCAAATATTGCACTGGTGGAAAAGACTTTCACCAAAGACACTTGATGTTCCAGGTTATGGTTGCCTAGGTAATCCTCTAATGTATTTACTATTAGATCACCAAGCTTAATCACCCCCATAGAACCTTATAGCATTGGCATATGTATAAATGTATACACATATTGTTTTCTTCTTGTCATAGGTGGGTATTTGGGTGTTAAAATACTATATGTATACTTATGATGCCAGCATATAGCAGGACAAGGATTATAGTTATTACTTAAAGTATTGTTATAAATACTATTAGCATTTATTTTATCCCATCCTTTAGTTGATCAGTGAGGCAACATGGTTAAGCGTCCTCACACAGTGGGTCTTTGCACCAACACGTTCTCATCCCAAAGTGTAACATACCGACGCTATGTGACAAATCCTCAGTATGTTACGCTTTCAGTCACCACATCCGTCTGTACGTTACGCGTTCGGAAACATGAGAACCTTTTGGAATGAATCAACACATGTACATTTATTTTACTTTCTCATCATTAATCGCTTTGGAAAACACTATCTAATATGATTAAGACTGTGTTTATCATTAGGATTAAGGTTAGGGTTAGGGCTGGAATACACGGCTGGAATGTGTGTTATTGCCGGGAGTCTATTGGATTGCATCCACAATCCGGCGCGTATCACAGCTACCTTTCGTGTTCCTATGGGACACCTTGGGACGTGACAAATCGGCGGTATGTTGCACATTGGGAATGAGAATGGCCTCCTTTGCACACTGTTCCTACTAAACTTCTGTTCCGATGATTGTTTTTCTGTTAGTGTTGCTGTTGTAAGTCTGCGATTTCCTTGGTCTGGATATGTCCTATTTAGCTGCTGACCTGATTTGTTTATAATAATAATTTTAAGAAAATATACATGTGGTCAAGCTAACGTCATCAACAACAACCTCAATCTCTTATTCTCTTCCCCAGCTGACAGTGTGGAGCGTAAGATGTGTATACATGAGCCAACAGGTGCCATGTAAACCCCACGATACCCTTTGAATGGCAGCCACATCACGTTTATACACAAGCAGAAAAGAAATGAAGCAAGAGACAACCCCCCAAAACAAACAAACAAACAAACAAACAAACAAACAAACAAACAAACAAACAAACAAACGGGAAATACAAATGGAATGAATACATGTAAAAATAAATTAAATGGAAAAGTAAATAAATTAAGGAAATAAAAAAAAAAACATCTGAAAACATCAATTTAAATTTCTGTATACATTTTTTAAAATATATATTTTATGTTAAGTGCCATTAACGGTAAACTGTTTAAAATTAATCATCATTTATATCGTTTGGCTGTTCTGGGCCTCCATAGTTTTGAAAAATTCACCAGTATTGCTGCTTTTTGCTGAGGCTTAGCTGCAGATCTTGTAAATACATTGCAAGCAGAAAAAGCTTTTATTTTATTTTTTTCTATTTTATTTCATTTTTTAAGTTGACAAATTAAATTATTACTCAACAGGTTGGTTTGTTACAGATGTTTAATCAGAGCAGTGTTTGGTACCGCTGTTCAGGGGCATGCTGTGTTGTGGAGTTAAAAATAATCTCTAGTAAGAGCAGAAGAAGAAAAACAGAATCAAACACTTCTTTTTACACTTTTAAAAACACCAGGGACATTTATTATTTCCATCTACAGGCTCAAAATGTCCTTGAAATATGTCTTGGTTTTATAGAAGTGTCTTATTGCATAAGTAAAACTTATGTAACTCCTCATTTCATCAATCTGTATCTGCTTCACAGCCCTAATGAGAGACAGAGGAGAGGTAGGTGGCCCTCAGGGGGATTCTGGGTAGACAGGAAGTCAAGGATGAGTAGTTCCGGTGCTGACAGGAACCTGAGGCATCACAGTGAGGCGTCAGGATGCTGCTCTCTGAGAAAGTTTTGGTACTAATGTGTATTCCTAGAGGATAAATCAAGCAGTTCATCACCTGTGCGCTTTGCCTGATGATGTTACACATGGGTATAGGCTTCAGTCCTGCAGGAGTACTTTCCTTTGTGATATGAACACAGTGAATCACTGAATTTGAACATGTTCACCTTAAAACTGACTGAAAACGGAGAGAAGTTCTGCTCTTGCTCTTGTGTGATCACTTCAGTCAGCAGAAAAAATGAAAACAGAGCAGAGATTATTCCGCATGCGGTGGCCTATTTTTGGAAGTGCGCTCACTCCTTTGCTCAATCCCTTTTGTCTCTTATCCTATAAGCAGGTATGTGATGACCTTATTCCCACAACTGGACCACATACACAAACACAAGCCTTCTGGATATATGAGCACTTGCTCATTGGGGTTTGTATTCTCACTAAAATAAATTAAATTAAATTGAAAACACACAAACACAGAACCTTACCACAGATGTTCAGCTTTGTCTAAGTTCAGAGAAGCAGGTGTTCGTAAAGCAACAGGTGAGAAAGAGAGGTTCATCTTACCTGTGAGGAAACATGCTGGAAGGAACCAGTGAAGATCAGTGTCCGAGTGTAGATCCCGATAAAGAAGCAGTTTGATAACAGAGTGATAATAAAGTCAGGTGTGGTCAGCGGCAGACAGCGCCGCGAGCTCGCTATCTGAGATTTGAGAAGTGAGCACAGGTTGCGGGCGCGCGCGTTCACGCACGCTGCAAGTCCGCGGCATGAAAACCCGGAAGTACCGCGATTAAGATTTTCAAAGTAATGACTTGAAAGCCTTTCAGTAAAAACGGTAGGATTGAACGTAAACACACAAACTGCACAGCTCGGAAAATCAAGTCCAATCAGTTTATTTATTGTGAAAGCAATAAAGTAACAAGACTCATTTAGATTGGCTTTTAACTAAATTTGTGTTGAATATTTGATTGTGCTATTTTATGTATATCAATTTTATATTATTGTGAAGCACTTTGTGGTTCTTATCCTGTGAAGAGTGCTATATATATAAATAAAGTAAAGTAAAGTAAGGACAATACAGGAAAAAAACATAAACTAAACTAAATAAAAGAAAAACACAAAGGAGGTACGATCTGTCTTCGAGTGAGCTGCAAAGATGTTGAGTACTGGTGAGGTCCTACTTTGAAGAGGAAGACTGTTCCAAATTTTAGGTGCAACTAAAGAAAAAGGCCTGATTTAAACAACCAGAACAACTAGAAGCATCTAGTCAGTTAACCTTAATGATCTAGGAGTGTGCATAGAGTTAAAAGTTCAAAAATGTAAGAAAGTGCTGATCTATTTTTTGCCTTAATAATAAACAAAAGGATCCTAAAATTCTGGAAGGCACTGGCATTACTTTCTCAAAATCAGCAGATGAGAGAATTGTCTTAATCTTTGCAAGGGCCCTCAGCTGGAAGAAACTGGCTTTAACAGCAGAATGTATTTGTTTGTTAAAAGTGGAGCTGCTAGGGTGACAGTTTAGCTTAGTAGACGAGCAGGGGTAGCTCTTGCTTGCACACAGGCACGTGACAGACTACAGACCTATTCTCCACTCTTGTAATTGGCATATGTAATGCACAGTGATGAGTCTACACAATGTTGCCTTGGGTTTAATAACTGAAGGGTCCACCCTAAAACTATTGTATTATATTGAAATCTGTGAAAACTGATTATGAATGGTTCTTAATCCTAATTAGGACGCTTGTTTT